TATGCAGGCTGTGGGTGTGGTCTAGGCTTCCTTTCTGTGCTGCATATAGGTGCATAAGCCAGGCTGGTTTTGAACTCAGAGACCCTGCCTCTGCCTTAAAGGTACACACCACCACTGTCGGCCTGAGTAGTGTCTTTTAAACCTGGTTTTCAGAGATATATTCCTCTTTCTGCTGTGCCTCCATTGTTCCTTTTCCACACCCACAGCCTGCATAATATGGACAAGAGGCTTAGTAGCTCGCCAGACTGTGCAGTAGAGCAGACTCTACAGGATATGCATCCCCACTGGATGCCGACGATACCACCATTCACCGTGTTGTGCAGCCAGCTCTCCCAGCCTGGCCTTTCCACAGCAAACTCTTGCAGTTCCCTCAGTGTCTGGCCATGTTAGCTTTATTCAGCCAACTCTCTCCTGTCAAGCCCCTTCCCAGGTCTTGCACTACAGACAGATGAACATGGGCCGAGAAGTGGCAACGACTGAAAACAGAGGGAAGCCGAGCAGCGGGTGGTGCGGGCCTTTAGTCTCAGCACTCAGAAGGCAGAAGCAGGCAGATCTCTGTGATTTCAAAGCCAGCCTGGTGTATAGAGCAAGTTTCAGGACAACCACAACTACACAGAGAGAACCCTGTCTCAAAAAATAGAAGGGGAGGGGGAGGAGGAGGAGGAGAAGCAGGAGCATCAGGAGGAAGAGGAAGAAGGCAGGAAATAAAAAGAAAACAAAGGGAGAAAAGACCTGCTATACTCAGTGCCCTGAGGACACCCAAACAGTCCCCAAGTTTTTCACGGAAGTGAATACAGCTGAGAGAGTGTCCAGCAGTATTCAACTCTATTCCTCGGGTACTGTTAAAAGCCTCCACTCCTGGCCCTGTGTACCACATGGGACACATACAGAATTCTGAACTACAATTAGAACTCAGCCTGGGACTCCTGTAGCTACCAGCAGCAGCCCCAGACCCCAGGCAGACAGCTTTTCCTTTTGCCTAGGTGATAGGGTAGTGTCCATGAGGGCCACCCAGAGTGGGGTCAGCCCCTGCCAAGCTGGGCAGAACTCCCAAGTTCCCTTCTCGGGACTGCCCAGCCCCCTCTCTTTTCGGAGAGCTGCTCGGGGTACCTGAGAGCGCAGATACCCTGCAACTTCGAGTTCAGTCGAGGTCGAGAGAGCAGCGTCCGGGGCCCCTGCGCCCCCAGGCTCGCGATACACAGTCTCCCGAGGCGCAGCATCCCGAGGTAGACAGCCATGGTTCGCTTCCGCCGCTGGTCCCGGGCCGGGAGTAAACTTTGAAAGTGAACGAGGGGGGGTGAAGAAGAAGCGGGCGGGGAGGCGGGATGGTCGCTCTGCCTATGGGGTGAGGAGGACTGGGTCCCCGCGGGGCGGGACGGGGAGGGGCGGGGCGAGGACAGGCCGGGAAGTGGCGGCTTGGTCCTGGCCACCTTTGCGTGGGAACTGCAGCCCTTCAAGCCCGCCCTCGAAGTACCGCCCCTGTCCCCCTCCCCCTACTGGGACTCCCAAGACCCGCTTTGCAGCACAATACAGGACCTTCCTGCAATCATAAAGTTTGGAGGGCCTAGGAGTTTCATAAACGGGAGACCAATCAACAGTCTACATAGAGCCAGATGACAATGCCAGGACTGGTTGGTCCCACGTGCCCAGTAGCGCTTGGGTCACGTGGGAACCTCCCCGATGGGGAGCTACAGGCCAAAGGAACGGCCCCGAGCGCCCCTGAGGCCTGCCAGCTGGAGCAGGGGGCCTCTGGGGAGAGGAGAGGCAGTAGGGACCTACCGGTCTGATGGGTGAGCCCCTTTGTGCTCGGGGACCACCGGAGACCGAGGTGCTAGTCCGGCCAGTGGCTAAAAGTCAGCTTTAGTTCGACCTTCCATCCTCCCCATGACCAGATCTCTGGTCACTCCGAGAAGAGTACCAGGCAGACAAGATTAGGTGGCATCAGGGGCGAGTCTGTTGTATCCTACCATCCCTCTTTCTGCCCTAGCTTTGGGACCTTAAACACAATTTCCTCAGCTGCTCCCCTAGGCTCCAGAGGACCCAGACTTTGTGACTCAACCCTCTAGCTGTGCCCTCTGGAATGTATTCTAACATGTAATCCAAGGAGGATGGGCGACAAGATATAGGAAAGAACTGCTCATTTCTAGGTCTGGGCACTGGGTAACTATGATTGACACACTTGTCCTACACCTTCTAGCCCCACATTGTCCTGAACGATCTGGGAAAAAAAGAGAAGAAGCCCGTGGCAGAGTGGCTTGCCGTCTCCTGACGAGGAATGAAGAAGGCCAGGCAGGGAGGAACAGTTGGCTGAGGGTGGAGGTTGGCCTACTGAACCTTTGCCTTTATCTGGTTCAGCCCGGGTCATGAGTAATGCAGCTGCTCCCTCTTTGATCTCCAGAGTGACCAGAGATCTCTCTGTCAGCTTTTTCGGGGAGAATCGGTGTTCCGTTGGAGAGCAAGTCAAGCTGGGTGGGCTTGAAATGGCATGACACCCTCCAAATCAAGTTTATACAGTGATTTCAGAAGGCCAGGCCCAGGGAATGAGGAATGCTGACTGGTATCCCAAGTTCAGGATCCAAGCCCTGCCTGGAAGGCTTGGTGGATGACCTGGACAAATCCCTGATCCCTTCTGGATAAATAATTGCCCTGGCAAAGTGAAGGGCACATTCTGGTCCCCAGGACCCTTTCTCTTCCTGACTAGTCTCTGACCGAGTCTTGGGGAAAGGGGAAGATGAAACATTCTGCATGTACTATGGGCTAGCCTGGGGAAGCCTTTATCCCCTTCCCCTTGTTTCTCTGATTCAGAAATGGACTCATAGACAGGCCTGATGTCAATCACCTGTGATCCCAGGCAGGGGAATCAGGAATTCAAAGTCATCTTCAGCTACACAAGGAGTCTGTGGCCAGCCTGGGGAGAAAAAGAGACAGACAGACAGACAGACAGACAGACAGACAGACAGACAGACAGACAGAAAGGGGCTTTTAATGTCAACCTCAAGTAGCATTTTTTGTTTTTGAGATGGGGTCTCATATAGCTAAGGCTGACCTCATTCTGTTTAAATCCTAGAATGGCCTTGAACTTGGATCCTCCTGCCTCCGTTTGTCTTCCAGAATTACAGACTTGCACCACCACAGCCAATTTTATGTGATTTGTACACGCACACAATGGGGATCAGAAGACAACTTGTTGAAGTTGGTCTCTCCTTCCACTATGTGGGTCCCGGGATTAAACTCAGGTCATCAGGCTTGGCAGGAAGCACCTTTACCCACTGAGCCATCTCTTGGGCTCCAACTGTTGCTTTTTTTTTTTTTTTTTTTTTTTAGACAAGGTATCATGAAGCCCAGCCTGGTTTCAAACTTAACTAAGTAACTGATGTTGGTCTTGAATGCCTGACCCTCCTGCTCCAAAGTGCTGAGATTATAAGTAGGCCAACATACTCAACTGTGTCCAAAACCCTAATCACAGTGAAATGAGTATAACGCTACCAGCCTTGGAAATTATCTTAGCTGAAATGACAAAGGGGCTGGTGGAGGAGAAGGCAGGAGGCGGAGGCCAATATTCTTATATTATAAATTGTGTGTTGCAGGCCTGGTGGTATAGATATGTTCTACCAGCTACTCTAGAGAGATCGAAGCAGAAAGATTAAAAGGTCAAGGCCTGCTTGGGCAACTTAAAAAGATGCTGTCTCAAAATAAAAAGTAAGCTGGGCATGGTAGCACACACCTTTAGTCAACAGGCAGATCTCTGAGTTCAAGGCCAGCCTGGTCTACATAGAGAAACCCTGTTTTGAAAAACAAACAAACAAACAAAAATGAAAATGATGGAGGACTTGTCTAGCATGTTGAAAACCCTGTGTTCAATGCCCAGCACCATACATACACACGAAACAACAATAATAATAAAGAGCGAAAATATAACAATAAATAAAATATAATAAACTAAGATGTCAGACGCACCTACAGGCAGAATCCCCTGCCAGTTCCAGGCCAACCTGGAGTTCATACTGAGACTTTGTTTCAGTAAATAAATAAGGCTAGGGGTGGTGGCACATACCTTTCATCTCACCACTAGAAACAAAAGCAGGCAGATCTCTGTGAGTTTCAGGCCAACATGGTCTACATAGTGAGTCTTGGGCCAGCAAGGACTACACAAGGAGACCCTGTCTCTAAATGAATAATAAATACGTACATACATACGTACATACATGCATGCATGCGTACATACATACATAAACAAATAAATAGAGATAGCCTATCTGGAGGTAATAGTGCATAAAGAAAAGGAATAAAGTTTTAGGTTTTGGTTTGGTTTGGGTTTTGCTTTTTGACACAGGGTTTCTCTGGGTAGCCCTAGCTGTCCTGGAACTCAATTTATAAACCTGGCTGCCCTCAGACTCACAGAGATTCCCCTGCCTCTGCCTGCCAAGTGTTGGGATTAAAGACAAGTGCTACCACTACCCGGCTGGAATGTTAAAAAACAAAAACCCACAACCCCAACGAAGCTATTGTCAAAGGGTGTTGCAGGGCACAGCCTTCTGAGTGAAGAGCCATCATCTTCATCAGATCAGCAGTGCCTGCTGACATGAGACTGGTGACTCTGGAATTTCCCAAAGAGAAGGAATGGGTGGGGAGAGTCGTAAGATCTCGTGCAGATTCCAGCCACTCCTCCACTTATATGGAATTTTGCCCTAATTGCAGGCATGTGCCTGAGATACTAGACTGTGTAGGTTTGAGGAAGGTTAACTGGTGGGAACTCTGTGCAAGTCGAGCGGAGGCTTTCCGGTCAGGTACTTTGAGTGGGGCTGCCACTCACGCTTCCATAAGCAACCCCTCGTCCATGCCTGTAAGACAGTTCCATTGGTCCTCCAATGCAGACTTTGAAGGAATCCAATCTAGGAAGGATTGAAACCTTAAGAGGAGAGAATAGGCATTTATACTTCTCTAGGGACAAACTGATTTATAACAAAAGACCCACTAAGAAATAGAATTAAAAAATTAAACAGTCAGAAGTAAAGACAGAAGATAAAATGGAGGTAGTTAAAATAGTTCAAATGGGCAGAGCATGGAGACTCATGCCTTTAATCCCAGCACTAGAAAGGCAAAGGTGAATCTCTGAGAGTTCGCGGTCAGCCTGGTCTACAAAGAGTCCAGGACAGCCAGGGCTGGTTACACTGAGAAATCCTGTCTCAGAAAGAAAAAAAAAAATTCAGAAAGGCAGAGGCAGGCAGATCTCTATGAGTTTCAGGCCAGGTTGCTCTACATAGTGAGTTTTGAGAAAGGGTTCTCTGTGTATGACTTAGCCAGCCTGAAACTTGCCATATTGCAAATAAAATTTCTGATGAGGTCAGCAAGATAGCTCTGAACATAAAAACCACTTCCTAGGCAAAGCCTGATGTTAGACCAGGGAACATCCAGGAAACCACAGGAAAAGGTAAGATGCAGAGCAGGCAGGTGGTGGCACATGCCATTAGAGGCAGAGGCAGGCAGATCTCCGAGTTTGAGGCCAGCCTAGTCTACAGAGTGAGTTCCAGGACAACCAGAGCTACACAGAGAAACCCTGACTTCAAAAATCAAAGGGGTGGGGTTTTGGGGGAGAAAGTAAGATGTAATGACATTTATCAGCAACCACAGCACTCCTAAGGCAAGACAGGAGACTCTCCCAGAGGCTCAGCCAGCTAGCCCGGAGTAAGGATCCCACTGCCAGAACAAGAGTCCCGACCAGTTAACCTTCCCCAGAGCTATGCAGTCTAGAACCTCAGGCACATGCCTGCAATTATGGCAATTAGGAACTGAACAAAGTGGAGGATGAGAACCGACTCCTGTTAATGGTCCTCTGACTAGCACATGAGTGCAAATGGCTATACTCACATATAAATCAAATTGCACACACAATAAAGAGAAATTAAAAAAAAAAGTCAAGTAGTTCAAATGAAGCCAAGAATAGTGGCTCAGACCTATAATCCTAACACCGAGGTTTCTCACAGAATTATTCACAATAGCAAAGGCAGGAGCCTACAAAATGTGAAGTAATCACATGCTAGTTTATTAGTCACATGCTATTTTATTAGTCACATGCAATATTATTCAGCCTTAAAAAGAAAGGACAGGCTGGGTGTGGTGGTGCATACCTTTAATCCCAGCACTCAGAAGGCAGAGACAGATGAATCTGTGAGTTCAAGGCCAGCCTGGTCTACATAGTAGACCAGGTCCAGGACAACCAGGACTCTGTAGAGAGAACTTGTCTCAAAAATAAATAACTAAATAAGTAAATACATACATAAATAAATAATAAAGGAAAAAGGAAAAAAAAAAGAAGGAAAGGACATTCTGACACATTCTCAAGTGCAGGAAAACCTTGAAGAAATGCTAGCTGAAATAAAGCAGACATAA